GGAGCAGGCCCCTTGAGACCGTTCCAAAAATCTCTTCGCCAGCTGCAGAGCATCCTACTTGGGCCATCGACACCTCACATCCGCTGTTTCTCCATCCGGCTCTTCTAAAAATGGCTCGAAGCTATCACAAAACTTCGCGTTTCATGTTTTCACCCCCGGACACCACACTAAGGCGCCACACTAAGTGCAACCTTGGGGGGCACAGCACCCGCTCGTGGTGATCGGCCATGGGTCGACTTGGCAATGGACCGGTTCCTGATTTTCAAGCCTATTACCGAACTGGGCCCGTCCGTCCTGTCGTCATTGGTTTACTCCAACTGCATAGACCTCGGTGGTTGCTAACATCATCCCCTGGAAACGATGCACCTGCTCTGCTCCTATGGCAGGTTGCTTCTCATGTTTTCCTCTCATGCGCCAGGTCCACTGGCCTCCACATGCTCTTCCTCTTATCCGAATTCCTTGTTATCAGGCCTTTGCGTGAGAAATCCAACTTTTTCACGTCGAAGCTCCTCAGGGCATTGGAATACCGAAATGACTCTCGGTTTGTGTAGAGCAGGGCCCTAGAAAGGCCAATGCCTCCATCTTCTCATCACTCCAAGCGGTCTCAAGCCGTAAGTTAGACCCATCGTACTGCTGACCCGCATAGGCCGGAACTCCTACTTTCCCAGTTAGTAGCACCTCCGTTACCTGAAATAGTATCTCATCCTACTTAGGTTGTTTCGGTTGTGCCCACAGCCAACATTAGTTCAACTCCATTTGGCTTTCCACTGGCAGCTGGGGCCCCACTCGGCTAACATGGCTTGAAGATCCGGCTCTTCGATCACAGACGGTCTGTCTGCTCGACTCAGGGACGCCACTCTCGCCGTGGGATCCAGATGGGGGAGGGAGGTGTGGTTCGCCCCCATCCCACTGGCGTAGTCAGCAGGGAGGAGAAATGCTCAGGGGTATATAAACATTCACGAAGATCACCTCGCGGTGAGAGCTCTCAAGCCACTGTCAATTGCTTCACTTCATCTTGTCCATTGGGACGTGCCTCTCTTTTGAATTGCATCCTTTTCACCAGTCTGTCGTTTACAACCTGGCTGTTCAACAGCCATTGAAACTATTGTTTCCCCCTCTCTTTTGAGTTTGGATAGATTTCCAAAAGTCTCTCGCTGACCTCGATTATCCGCTACATTCCGACTGTATATTGTTGACCTTTCTTCCACAATGCGTTCTAACAACCTTCTGCTGCTCGCCAGCTTGGCGAGCTACGCTTTCGCTCTCCCCGCCGACCTGGACCGCCGCACCGGTCTCGTGTCCGAGTTGGTCAGCGACGTGACTGGTATTGTCGATCTGCTCCTCGGTGGTGGTACGAGCCCTGCCACCCTTCTGAGCGGCATCAGCGCTCAGGCAGCCGCCGCTCTGGAGGGTGGTGCGCTGGGATGCAAGGCCGGCTCTGTCCGTTCCAGCGCCCGTCAGGAACTGGCTCAGTGGCTCCACTCCAACTCGGGTGTTTTCCACGTCTCCGTGGTGAAGTCGATCCTGGGTTGGTGTGATGGCGGTGACGAGTCCGTCCTGCCTGTCGATGTCACCTCTGTCCTGTCTATGCTCGTCCCCACCTGTGCGGACAAGGCGGCTCAGGGCGAGCTTGTTGTGACCCTGGATGGTATTTTCGATGCTGCTGAATTCGTGACCGACATTGTCCTTTCTGCTACTGCTCAATCTTCCCTTACTTCTTTCCTTCAGGGAACCGTTGGCTCCCTGCTCGACTCCAAGATCAAGGCTGGTCTTAGCCTCTGTGCCAGCGGTGGTGTCGCTTCTGATCTCGCCGCAGAGGTCCGGGTTTCTCTGCTTCAGTGGCTCAATGGCAGCGACTGCTCTCTGGCTGCCTCCCTGAAGATCTCTGTGCTTGCTTGGCTGCACGGCAAGGCTGAGGGTGATGCTATTTCTCTCAGCTCTCTGCCCACCGGCGGTCTGTCCGTCATCTCCGCCGGTGCCGCCATCGAGAGCCTGGTTAGCGAGGCTGGTGTTCTGGTCGAGTCTGCCCAGATGACCCTTGCTGCCATCCTCAAGACTGATGTCCTGGCTGATGTCGAGGAGGTCATCGTCTCTGCCCTCACTTCCTGCTCCAAGGGTGCCCACGCCTCCGCCCTCACTGTTGAGGTCCGCACTGCCCTGGCCAAGTGGCTCGCTTCCTCCAGCTGCCGCCTTGGTGCTGAACACAAGTCTCTGCTCCTGCTGTGGCTCTCTTTCGGTATCACCAGCGAGTCGATCTCCATCAACATTTCCACCGATCTCATCTCCGACCTGACCAGCTTCATCACCGGCACTGTGGACTCCCTCCTTGGTACTCACCTCAGCGGCATTCTCTCTCTGCTCACCTCTGGCGAGAGCCTGATTTACAAAGTGAGACCATAAATAGCACTTATTGCAACGTCTTTCAAAAACTTTCGAAAGCTGGTATCCGAAAATCCCGTCCTAGCCAACATGGCGGACGTTATTGTTCCCGCAATGTAGACGGGAGGGCTGAGACTGAAGTCGGCCAACTTCACCGTAGTCCCATGGCCAATGAAGTACGATTTGATGAAGGCATAGCTCCATGC